TCCTCGGGATGTGCCCAGGAGTGCCCATCTCAAGGGAACTCCTCCCTAAGCCCACATTCTCTCCTGGCATGTCTAGTTCTCCAGTTTACAGCCACACTTTTCCATTCTCTGAAATGATGAGTTTTAAAATTAATTTTCACCAGGAAGAATATGCTGTGATTTTAAATGAGTGTCCTCTTTCTCTAACAACTACCACTTAGATAGGAATCTCCACGTTTCCTCCGTGGACAACCCTGTCTTCTGTGAACCTCCAGAGAGATGTTAAACACACACAGAAACACGGAGATGTGTGTGTTTTCTCAGACAATATAGCACAGCATGGACTTGTCTTCTTCAGAATTTTTTCATTCTTTTCCTTCCCCTACTGGTTTTTAGGATGGACATTCTGCATCCTTGATTGCTCATCCTTTTGACAAGTGCATTTAGTTCATTACACTTTCATTAATAACCATCTCTGCCTCCTTTCTGAATATAATTATTAATTTCAACTATTGCCCTCTGGCCTACAGGCGGGTTAACATACGTCCTTCTAGCTGGGTTGTTTATTTCCTCTGTCGATATTATATTAATAATTATATTATATTGTACCACATGCCATCATTTTTTCTCACCGTCAACTTACTGTATTTCAACTACTCTTCAGCAAATTATCTATCTTTATGTCGTTTCTTCGGTATCTAGTAGGGAGAGAAGGTCCCTGGAGTTAATTCCCTCCTCTTTTCTGTACTTTGAACAACCAGTTCTAGTCTCATGAAACTCATATTTCTACAATTTCCATCTGGCCCTGTTCAGAAACGTGTGGCTGCCTCCGGGATCCTGGGAGATGGTGTCCTCCTAAGAGGTTGACTTGGAGTCACCTTGCAGGGCCTGTTCCTCCCCAGGGGCCCCTCGGGGATGTCTCAGCTCCTCTCTTGCCCCCACCTGTAAATAGCCCTCTGTGGGGCTGCGATAGACCCAGCTCGTGGCCCCAGGGCTTCACCCCTCTCTGCGGAGCCCCCACCCTCTGCCCTTGTCTTCGGGCTTGAGCCTGGGAGTGGCTCTGGCCAGCAGAAAGGGATGGGGACAGTGCAGAATCCCTCAGGCTTCCCGTGTCCACGTCCCTGGCTCCTCACCGCACTGGAACAGGACTCCTGCCAGCAGCTGGGGAGACCGTTCTCTAGGGCATCCTCCGAAGGCAGCAGGCTGCTGTGGGCTGAGGCGCTTTTTAGACGCGAGATAATTCACAGCTCATCAGGAACACCGCATCACTGCTTATGGGTGTCTCACGACTGCAGTGGGGAAAATAGGTCTCTTACCGGAAGATTAAAGAGAAAGATTCTCTCCCTACCGACTCCTCCTGAGCAGCCATGCACGTGGCGTTTGCTCACAATGGGCGATGGGATTTTAACCAGCTTTTATGTTCAGAAGGCAGGGCACACCTGGAAGCCATCGTCAGGTGATGGCCTGATTGAGCTGGTGAAGCACCGGGCATGCGGGTAGGGTCCGTTCCTGATCAGGAGCGTTCTCAGCGTCATGAGCAGCATGGGACTTGGAGGCGCGGATGCCCCCAGGAGGCAGGCCCTGCAGCGTGGGGCAAGGAATGGACACAAATGCTGGGCACGTGTTGTGGTCGCCTTGGGAGGTCTTGGCAGCAGCGGGTCCAGGCACACAGGCATCATCGGGTATGCTCCCTGCTGGGGCTGTGGGGTTGGAGCTTCCAAGTCCAGCCGAGGACACAGGCAGGTGTGCGGCTGTGAGTGCTGGGAGGGGTGGCCCATGGCCTTGGCAGCCCCAGGCCCACACCCTGCTTGTAACACTGACCAGAGGTTCCGTGTGCATTTGGCTGCCAGCCATGAAGCAGGCTCTGAGCTTCCCCTGGGGTGTGGGTTCTCCATTTTCAGTGGATTCGGCAGAGGCTTTCCTGGGTGCATTTGCCCCCTGGGTAGGTGCTGTGCAAATTAAATCAAAGGCATGAAAAATAATCTCGATTACAAGGCTGCTCAAACACACTCTGTCCTCTGGTCTCCAGTGTCCAAGAGGTCTTTGTGTTCATCTCAGAACCAGGCACACAGGCATCATCGGGTATGCTCCCTGCTGGGGCTGTGGGGGTGGAGCTTCCAAGTCCAGCCGAGGACACAGGCAGGTGTGCGGCTGTGAGTGCTGGGAGGGGTGGCCCATGGCCTTGGCAGCCCCAGGCCCACACCCTGCTTGTAACACTGACCAGAGGTTCCGTGTGCATTTGGCTGCCAGCCATGAAGCAGGCTCTGAGCTTCCCCTGGGGTGTGGGTTCTCCATTTTCAGTGGATTCGGCAGAGGCTTTCCTGGGTGCATTTGCCCCCTGGGTAGGTGCTGTGCAAATTAAATCAAAGGCATGAAAAATAATCTCGATTACAAGGCTGCTCAAACACACTCTGTCCTCTGGTCTCCAGTGTCCAAGAGGTCTTTGTGTTCATCTCAGAAACAGGATCATAAATTAAAGACCCTCTAAGACTCCTCCGTGTGGTCTAAACAGGAGGATGGGTGGAGGTGTGGCGCCCACCTGACCTTCCCTCTGTCCACATATGTCCCGCCCCCCCCTGCTGATGGGCAGAGTCATGTGACTGGTGCTGGCCAATGGGCTGAGGGCAGGAGAGACCTGGTGACACCCGGCTGAGGTGGAGAAAAGCCCCCTAGGCCCCTCAGCTGCATATTTCCTGCTGCCCTCAGGGGCCACATGCTCTCTTGAGTGTGGGCCTGAGGAGCGCAGCCTTGGTCATCAGGGCCCCGTGTAACCATGAGGAGCCAAGCTGAGTCCTGGCCCTCTGTGCTCATGGGGTGTGAGTGAGAAAGAGCTGAGGTTTTGTGCTGCTGCTGGGATTTCAGGGCCATTTGTTACTAGAGAAGCTGTCCCAGGGGTCCCAGACCTGGGCTTCCTCCTAGCTTGGTGCATCTTGGGAACTCTGGGTATTACCATCCTCATCTCTATAGGGAGAATCATCATCATCATCAAACCTCATTCACTTATTGTGAAGATTAAATGAGTTAGCATAGTAAAGCTTTAGATCAGTGTGTAGCCAATGTAGTCACTGTGTTGGTGTTGGCCATAATGAGGGGAGTCAAACTTTTGAAGGCCTTCAATACCAGGCTCAGGAGTTCGGTCTTCATCTCAAAGGCCTGCTTTGGCCAGGCACATTGGGTCATGCCTATAATTCCAGCACTTTGGGAGGCTGAAGTAGGAGGATCACTTGAGCTCATGAATTTGATACCAGCTGGGCAATGTAGGGAGACCCTGTCTTTACAAATATAATAAAAAACTATTAGCTGTGCATGGTGGTGCATGCTGGTAGTCCCAGCTACTTGGGAGGCTGATATGGGAGGATCACTTGAGCCCAGGAGGTTGAGGCTGCAGTGAGCTGTGATCACACCACTGCATTCCAGCCTAGATAACAGATTGAGACCCTGTCTCTTAGAAGAAGAAGAAAAAAAAAAAGGCCTGACTTTTTCACAGTGTCTCCTGCAAATACTAATTCTACAGAATGCTAAGACATTGCACAAAAACAGTATTCTGTGTTTTTTTTTTTTCATTTTTTTACAAGTAGTGGATTAGCAAAGTGAATGCATTACTTCTTTTTTTTTTTTTACTGCAGAACTTGTCAGTGCCTTTAATATGAGGGATGAGTCTCCGGGAGAGTTTGTTGTCAGGATTTAACACTTACTCTTGGCAAAGCAGTGATTTGTGCTGGAAATGAACTGGGTAGACCCTGTTCCCATCTCCGTCTGCCCCAGTCTCCATGCTGCCCACTCCCCATTAACAGTGTCTATAAACCAAATCACTGTAAAACACCCACAAATGGAGAGTGGAGGAGCATCACTTTCCACCCCGGGATCATGACGAGGGCTCTGTAACTTTAACAACCGGTCAGAAGACACCTGGGCTTGGGCTTGTGCAGCAGCTCCGAAGCCTGCCCTGCCTTGTCACCCACGGCACTATGACTTTGGAGGGTCTCAGCTCAGTCCCCCCTGCAGAGGGGCTGTCAGTGCTGGGCAAGAAATGATGCATGTTCAGGGATGGGCCCTAAACCTCCTGTGGAGGCACCTGACATGCCCCTCCCATCTTCCTGTTGACTGAGGTGTTGATGCCCAGGTCACCCTGCAAACTGCATGTTGGTGGAAGCTTAGCAGCCATCAGCCTGGGCCCCTGAATGACCACGTGGAGCAGAGTCTTCCTGCTGACTGGAATTACCACTCTACATTCCTGTGAGAGAGAAACAAGTGTTTTCCTCATGAGGTTGTTGAGTTTTGGATGTTTCTGTGCCAACACAGCTAACCCTGGCCCAATACACAGGGTGAGGGCAGACTTTCCCCAAGAAGAGAAAAAGGGTGTTGGGCAGAGGAAGGGGCGAGGCCGGAGGGCAGGTGTAGGAGGGTGACTGGCTCTTCCTTGAGTGGAGCCGTGGGCCTGTGGGCAGGTGGGCGGGGGAGTTGGTGGCTGCCTTCCCACTTCCTCTGGAAAGGCACAGGCTCCTGTGGCTGAGCAGCGGGTACAGCCCCTTCAGTCCTGTGTCCTTCCCTCTGCTAGCATCCCCTGAACTGCTGGGTTGACGTGGGATGTGGACCAGGAGCCCCGCTGTCACCACTCGAGCTCAGGGACTAAAGCCGGCCTGGCTCAGTTGTCAGGTCTGGGGGAGACACTGAGGATTCCAAAAGCTGATTGAACAAGTCCCTTCCCAAAACGAATGGGCTGAGTGGCCAGCACCCCTAGGCCTTGTTTCACTTGTCCTGAGGCAGAATCGTCCTCGAAAATACAACCCGGGAACATGCACTTCGGGGACGAGGGCCTTGCTCCAGGTTTAGATCAGCCTCGTCCAAACCACGGCGTGTGGGCCACGTGTAGCCCAGGATACCTTTGAATGCAGCCCAACACAAATATGTAAAATTTCTTAAAACATTATGAGATTTTTTTGCAATTTCTTAAAGCTCATTAGCTATTGTTAGTGTTAGTATGTTTTATGTGTGGCCCAGGACGATTCTTCTTCTTCCAGTGTGGCCCGGGGAAGCCAAAAGATTAGACAGCCCTGGTTTGGATGGACAAAGTCTCCAGGAATGAAGTGCGTTTGGGATGAGCACAGGACAGGCTGAGGCTCGGTGAGTAGAAACCACAGCTAAGCAGGATGCTGGGTCTTACAGACCGTACACTCAGCTGCCAGAAGGTACATTTCCTTCTTTTCCTGTAATTGGATCCATTTCATACCTTGAGCCAATATTATGACTGATGTAAAAGTATAATTTATTAAATTCTAAAGAAACTTACACAAGATCAAAGTAATGTGGCAGACAGAGCATGAGTAGGAGTTTTGCAGAAAAAAATCCAAGGAGAGAATCGTGTGTGTGTGTGTGTGTGTTTATATATGTACAGTTCACCCTTGAACCACACAGGGATTGGGAGTGCTGACCTCCCATGCAGTTGAAAAATCCATGTATAATTTTTGACTCTCCCAAAACTTAACTATTAATAGCCTACCGTTGACCAGAAGCGTTACTAATAACACAGTAGATTTACATATATTTTGTAAATTATATTATATACTGTATTCTTACAATAAAGTAAACTAGCATACAGAGAATGTTATTTGAAATCACAAGAGAAAATCTATTTGCTATTCACTAGTGGAAGTGCATCATTGTAAAGATCTTCATCCTCATTGTCTTCGTGTTGAGTAGGCTGAGAGGAGGAGGAAAGGGAGGGGTTGGTTGTGCTGTCTTAGAGGTGGCCGAGATGTAAGAGGTGGAGGAGGTGGAAGGAGGGAAGGCAAGAGAGGCAGGCACACTTGGTGCAATTTCATGGAAATTTTGTCTGACCTGTTTGCTTTTTCATTTTTCTAAAAATATTTTTATGTGAATCCTTCTGCCACCGTGTGCTTTGGATTCAGTGCCTGCGTCATAGAAGGGCCCGTGTCAGTAAGGAAGTGAAAAGCAGGATGGAATACGGAAACCCTCCTGGCAGATTGTGGTCAATGTATTTTCTGGTATGGCTTCTTTGTCCTCTTCCTCAACATCTGTCACTGGTTCAGAAGCACTCACCTCCTTCAAGTCGTCTTCTGGTTTTTGTCTTCTGTGAATTCCTCTGGTGTGGTGTCTGTTAGCTCTTGGATTTCTCCAAGATCCACATCTTGAAATTCTTCAATCCCCCATCTTTTTTTTTTTTTTTTGCCAGATGCACAATCGCTTTCATGATTTTTTTTTTGATTGGCTCTGTTTTATACCCTATGAAGTCATGTACAACACCTAGACATCGTTTTCTCCAGCAGGAATTTAGAGTTTCAGGCTTGATGACTTTCACAGCTTTTTCTAACAATGGCATCTTCCATGGTGTGATCCTAGCAGACTTACATGACATTGTTGCTATTGGAATTCTGTTCCCTAACGCTGACAATCCTTGCCGTACAGTACCGAGCTTAATGGGCCTTCACGGTCCTCATGACTCCCGATCTAGAGGCTGAATTAGAGACATTGTATTTGTCTTGTATTGTGTTGTATTAGAGACATTGTATTGTATTTGGGGACAAGACCACTTTGATGCCTTTGGTGTTGAACCCAAAGCATTCTGGGTAGCCAGGGGCATTATCCAATATCAAACAGACTTTGAAAGGCAGTCCCTTACTGGCAAGGTACTTCTTACATCAGCGACAAAGCACACATGAAATCAGTCCAGGAAAAGGGTGCTCACTGTCCAGACCTCCATGTTGTACAAAAGACTGGCAGCTGCTGTTTATGTTTTCTCTTCAAGGCTCGGGGGTTAGTGGCTTTATAGAGAAGGGCAGTTCTGACCATAAACCCAACTGCATTTGCACAAAACAGTAGAGTTGGCCTCTCCCTGCCTGGCTTCAGTGCTGGTGCTCACTTCTCTTTCTTACTAATAAATGTCATTTGTGGCATTTTCCTCCCAGAATAGAGCACTTTCATCAGCATTAAAAATCTGTTCAGGCAGATAGCCTTTATGCTCATTGATTTTCTTAATGGTGTCTGGTAACTTGTCTGCTACTTCTTGGTAAGCAGAAGTTGCTTCTCCTGTTCTCCTGACATTTTTTGAAAGCCAAACCTCTCTCTCTTTCTAAAATTATCAAACCATCTTTGGCTGGCATTAAACTCTCCAGCTTTAGCTTCTTCACCTTCCTTTTGCTTTAAGTTGTCAGATAATGCTTTAAGTTGTCAGATTTTCTCAAATCTTATTAAAGTCTACATGTATGCCTTTCTCATAGTCATCCTGCACCCACACAGAAGCTGCGTTTTCAATACGAAATTCAAACGTCTGCCACAAAAAGTGTGAGGTGTTTGTGCTTGCTGGCATAGCTGCAGCAACAGCTTTGTGGATTTCCTTTTCTTTCTTTTTTTTTGTAATGGTCCTTATGCTAAATTCATTTATCTTGAATTGGCAAGCAATCTCAGCTGCAGACCTTGACCTAGAGTACGTATCAGGCAATTCAACTTTGTATTGTAATGTCATGACTTTTCTCTGCTTCTTGGAACACTTCCAGCATCACTCGTGGCACTTCTCATGGGTCTCATGGTTTTATTCAAGGTTTATGGTATTGCAGTAAATATGATTCAAAAAATACATGAGAACCACAAGAGATCACGCTTTACTGCAATATGTAATTTACTGGAGCGATGAGCTGCACAGGTGGGGGTGATTAGCATCGCATCACATTTCAAGCAAATACTCAGAACACTTGAGCTCACCATAATAGCAACAGGAGGGGCCATGAAATTATGACAGTGGTATGTTAGGTACTACAGTGAGTTCTATGCAGTTATGATTTCATACTGCATCTTTATGTTTGTTTACATTTCTCTTGGCTGTGAATGATGCCATGTAAAGTCTGTAAGTGTTTATTTGTGTAATTTTGATAAATTTTAACTTTTATAATAATTTGTCTAATATTGTGGTAGTAAATGATAAGATAGACTAGTATCTACATTTATTTTATGTATTCATGATATGCGTAACTTTAATTTTTTTCCAGTATTTCTAGGTTATGTGTTTCATCTGCAAGTTTTCTCAAATTGTTGCAAATCTTCAAAAAATTTTCCAACATATCTACTGGAAAAAATCCACATATAAGTGGCCCCCCCACCAGTCCAAACCTGTGTTGTTCAAGAGTCAGTTATATTTATGAGGTGTTTTCAAAAGTTTATGGAAAATGTGTCTTACAAAAAAAACTATGCATGAATTTCAAATTTCTTTTGCACCAAAATAAACTCATACTAACTTGTTATAATATGTCTGAAAAGTATCTAGTTTGAGACACTAAGAAAGATAAGACATCAGTTTGGAAAGAGTCCCTATCAAAGCAACGTGAATTATGCTAAAATTGAAGCAGAACAAACACCAAATCTGTGGTGAAGCTTAGGTAGAGGACTGGTGAAGTCATTGATGCTTTATAAACAGTTTAGGGGGATGATGCCCCACAGAAATCAGCCATTTACAAATGGTTAAGTCATTTTAAGAAGGAACCGGATGATGTTGAACGTGAAGCCTGCAGCAGCAGACCACCTCAGTTTGAGAGGAAAAAATCAGTCTCATTGATGCCCTAATTAAAGAGGACTGGTGCTTAGCAGCATAAATAGCCAACACCGTAGACATCTCAATTGGTTCAGCTTACCTAATCCTGGCCAAAAAATTAAAGTTGAGCAAATTTTCTACCTGATGAGTGCCCAGACTGTCACACCCAGATCAGCGCCAACCAGAGCAGAGCTTTCAATGGAAATTTTACACCAGAGGGGATCAAGATCTTGAAGCATTGCTTAGAAGAATTGTAACAGGAGATGAAACATGGCCCTGCTAGTACCATTCTGGAGACAAAGCACAATCAAAGCAATGGCTACCAAGAGGTGGAAGTGGTGCAGTCACAGCAGAAGTGGACCACCCAAGAACAAAGGTCATGGCAACAATTTTTGGGAATGTTCAAGGCATTTTGTTTGTTGACTTTCTGGAGGGCCAAAGAACAGTAACAGCTGCTTATCATGAGAGTGTTTTGAGAAAGCCAAAGCGTTAGCAGAAAGTTTTCTAGGAAAGCTTCACCAGAGAGTCCTTCTCCACCACGATGCTCCTGCTATTTCTTACCATCAAACCGGGGCAATCTTTTTTTTTTTGAGACGGAGTCTTTGTCACCCAGGCTGGAGGGCAGTGGTGTGATCTCGGCTCACTGCAACCTCTGCCTCCCAGGTTCAAGTGATTCTCCTGCCTCAGCCTCCTGAGTAGCTGGGATTACAGGCGTGCGCCACCACGCCCGGCTAATTTTTGTATTTTTAGTAGAGACAGGGTTTCACCATGTTGGTCAGGCTGGTCTCAAACTCCTGACCTCATGATCCATCCACCTCAGCCTCCCAAAATGCTGGGATTACAAGCGTGAGCCACCACGCCCGGCCAAACCAGGACAATCTTGACAGCATCCCTGGGAAATCATCAGGCGTCACCTTTCAGTCCTGATTTGGCTCCTTCTGACTTATTTTTTTCCTCATCTTAAAAAGTTTTTAAAGGGCACCCCTTTTTCTTCAGTTAATACTGAAGCCCAAGGAGAGGACATCACTGGGCCCTTCTCTGGGGCTGCCCCTGGCTGGGAGGAGAGCGGACAGTTGCCAGGGGCGGACATTTGGGACAACAGGGCCTTGTCCTGTAGCTCGAAAGCCCCTCTAGGGTTCCTGTCCCATTTCCCTCTTAAATCTAGCCCGCTGTGGCAGGGAAGCTCGGAGGCAGAGAAGGGGAACCAGGGAACTTTCCAGAGCCCCTCTCAGCCCTGTGATGGAAACGGGCCACCTGGGGAGGATGGTCATAGTGTCATCAGGCACAGTGCTCGCTCCACTGCCAGGGACTGTGCTGAGGGCTCATGAGCCATCCAGGGACACTGCTTACATCCCAGTGCAGGATTCCAAAAACACGGGGAACTGTCTCCACTCTAGGACGGAGGCAGACAAGTGCTCTGCAGAAATCAGGGGATCTCACAGATCTGTGTTAATTAGAAGCAATGGTGTCTGCGATCTAGTGAAATTGGCAGGTGACAAAATACTGTTTATAAAGTGGTCCCATCTAGGTATAAACAAGCTTACGTCTATTACATTCTATGTGTGCCTTTTTAAAAGTGAGACTCTAAAAGATGGTAAAAATTCAATCCTAATTGTTCACAATGATTTGTCTGATAATACAAATTTATAGGGTTTACTTTCTTTGCCTGTCAGTATTTTCTGACCCCTTCCCCTTCCTGCCTTTATGAGTAATGAATGTGCATTACTTATGCAGTTAAACAAATAGGAGGCTTTTAAAACTTGGCTTTGTTTCCTGGCTGGCATCTTCCTCTCCGGGCACATCTCCTAGTAAGAACAGCTTCTGAATTGTCCTGTGTTTGTGAAATGCATGGACATTAGCTCTGCCTGGCACAGCTGAGAGCAAGGAAAAGTCAATCAGAAAAGCAGAGAAAAACAGATCCAAACACAACTCGAGTTCTAGAATATGGTGACACTCTGTGCACCCACACTTAGGTTCGCCTCATTCACTCGTCCTGGTGGAAAAGATACCAGGGGATGAGTCATCTAAGAGCAGTCCGTGGATGACTGAGGGTTTATATTTGGCTTCAGAATAAATTAATTCCCTTTTTAATAATGATCTCCTCCCAGGAGAATGGCATTTTAAAATGCCTGACTTGGCTAAATATTAAGAGTGGAGTCCTCAGTTCACGCTGATGAATGGAGAGGGCAGGGGAGAAGCAGGGGTGGGTGGGGGCACAAGGAGGGCACCGGTGGATGGGGCAGCCTGTCTGGGAGCAGAAATCCCATAGACGGCATCCCTGGGCCCTTCCGTGCTGCAGCAGGAACCAGTGCTCGGAGGATGTCCCTGAACCATGGGCACCAGGGCAGAGTCCTGAAAGTAACACCTTCATGAAATTCAATAAGAAAAATCTGGGCAGCCTTCGTGAAATCTGATTTAATGATCTATTCTCATCATTAGAAGGGGGACTCCGGTTTGGGGCAAGGCTTGGGGGAGTTACTTTTCAGGATTAATTAAATAAGCCATGTATATTTCTCCATGGAGACCTGCCCTGTCTATCTGCAGGCCAGTTAATCAGGGAATTGTCAGGACCCCACCCCGGGTCAGCTCCCCACCCCGCTTTCCCTTGTTCCCATCCCCTCCTCCAAACTGCGGTCACCTACCCAGGCCAGGCTGGCGCTGGGGGACAGGGGAGCAGGTCCACACTGTGGCTTTGTGAGAACACAGGCGGCAGGCGCCCCTTTGCATCCACATTTCTCTCCCCGCCCCTCCTCATGCCCTGCCTTTGATGGTGAAATGGAACTAGCTGAAACTCGACTTCCTTCTGTGAAAACAGTAAAAAGGCACAGGCTAACAAGAATATGTGACCGTCACAGCGCAGCTGGGCTGACAGGCCTTCAAGTGGCTGGGAGTTCTTGTAAGGGAGGATAATTACATTTTCGTTGTGTTAAAAAAGGAGGAAATGGGGAATACGCCCACCATCACTGCTTTGAATCTCCTCAAATTTCATTTCCTTCTGAAACTGTTGGGAGTCCCAGGCAGGCCTGTGGCTGGACTCATGACACCCCCGTGGGTGGGTGGGTGAGAAGGTGCTCGGGGCCCTTCAGTGTGGGTGAACAAAACCCCCAGAGCCCCCGCCAGCTTCTGTGCAGGGCTCAGACCCACAGCTGCTCACGAGGTGCTGAGCCTGGGGCGCATCACGGAATGCTTCCCCTGTGAAGGTGTCATTGGCGCGGAAGATGAACCTCATTGAAGAGCGTGTTTCCAGCTCAGCAGCACCTGGGATTTGTGCAGCCCGGGCCAGGGCGGAAGTGCGTTGAGGGGCATCCCGGCGTGAGTTTCGATTTGGGGACCCGAGGAACCCGTGGAAGGCGAGGAGATTCCGTGTCGGTGTCAGTCCTGGGACCTCCCTGGGCAGAGGCTGGCGTGTTCCCACGCTCCCTCCGTGGGCAGGTGGGTCCCAGAGCCGGATCCGCGGGGGGAGGGGGGCAGGGCGGAAGCCACGGGAGAGGCCCCAGGCCGGGCGATCCAGCACCAGTGAACGCCACTGCAGCCTAATTGTCAGTCATTAAACAGAACAAGACTGCCCGGAATCTCAACTGGATAATTCAAACAATTAGATTAACAGGGGTTTGTTTGGTCCTAACATTACGGAGCGGAAGAACAGTATTCGTGGCGTTAACTCTGAAATTTCAGTGTCTCGTTCCCAGGACTAAGCAGGGCAGCCTGTGATTAGGAAATATTTCGCCACGGCAACCCCCCGCCTCTTCCCTGTAGGGTGGCCTCAGGGTCCTCCAGGGAGAGCCCACTCTGACACCACACCCAGGACGGTCATGACTACACATAGGCGGCTTCTTCGGGGTATAAAAAACAGCACATTTGAATGACACGATCACCTCTCTTCATTGTGTCCTTAGCAAAAGCACCATAATTATACATGTAGAACCTGAAATCAATAGGGGCCCTGTTTTGTAATTTGAACTATAATTTACAATGGTGAACCCTCCACGCTTCCAGGCAACATGCAGAGAAGGTAATTTCTAGATGGATGACAAGGGGTGCCTTCAGCAGCCTGGGTAGTCACACTGTTCGATAGTAAAAAAGAGGTTTGTAGCCCTGGTGGGAAGCTTCAAGTTAAAGAAGCCAAGAAATTAAATAAACAGAAAGTAGATGTGAAATACACACGGCAAACTGGCAATTTGTCTTTGAGTGTTTCAAAATCACGAACCATAAAAGACTCTAACACACTCTGGTTTGTTTTTCAGAAACAAAGGCTGGGATTTCCCTAACATTTAGAAACGGTTGAACAGTTGGGAGCATGCATGTGAACTCCTGTGTTGAAGCTGCTCTGCATTCATTTAGGACTCTTATCTTCAAGTCACCTTCTGGAGGACCTGGGCATGTGTTTGGAAACGTCCCTCTGGAACCGCGTGGGAATCCTTAGGGTTCAGCCGCGTAGGTGCTAGGGAGTCTGGACCAAATAGCTCCCACCGGACTGGGTCCACTCTTCCTTGCTGAGGGACGTCTGGAGAAAGGAGGAGCCTGCATGGGGCGGGAGGCGGGGTCCTGGCTGGGCCTGGGGTCCTGCTGCCTCAGGGTCAGGACCCTGGGAACCCCACCCCCACCCACCGTGTCCTGCTCTGACTTTGCTCTTGGTGGCGGCAACGGGGACCGGGGGTCTCTCCGTGGCTCTGCCAGGCTGGGAAATGCCTGCTCCACGTCTAGCTTCCTGCTACGCCCTCCCCATCTTGGCCGTCAGCACCGCTCCAAGACCCAAATACTGGGGCTGTGGGTGGAGAACCTGGCTGGAGGCAGTCGGGGCTCTGCTGCTCAGCAACTTAAGGGGACTGAGTTGGCCTGGGGTTGGTTGCACATTCACTACGGCTGCACATTCCCATTCTCTGCTTCCAGGGCAAGGAGAGGACCGTGCATCCTCAGTGACCGTGGTGCCTCACCTTGCTTTAGAGAAGCCTGTCCTTGCCCCCAAGCTGCTCTCCATGGAGTTCTGTTTGCGCACAAGAGGTCCCTGTGAAGGAGTGTCCATCGGGTCTGGACGTGCACCTGACCTCGCTGACTGAGAACGTGGTGACTAAGGTGACTAATGCTCCATTACTTCTGCGCCTGATACCCAGGTCCATGCAGGCTTCTTTGGCCTCTGTCCTTAATCCTTAAATTAATCCAAGGATGCAGCAGTCAAGGCCTCACTGGAGAACTCATGTATTTACCACACAGGAGACTGAGGCAAGGAGTGGACGGAGGGGACGGGAGAGCTGAGAAGTCAGACAGGAGCTGGGAGGCAACTCAGAGGCCAGGAAGGAAGGTGGCGGCTCTGTCCCTGGGATGGAGTGGGGTGGGTGGTGCTGGCAGAGCCCAGGGCTGGGGTCTCTGGGGAAGCTGGACCCACAGCAGCCTCGGTGTGCAGGAATGACGTACACAGCAGGCCGGAGGCTGCCTGATGCTCACACGTGTTCACGGAGACCTGTGTGCAGCAATGACCCCCAGCCAGCATCCGGCGGCTGCCTGATTCTCACATGTGTTCACAGAGGCCCATGTGCAGCCATGATCCCCAGCCAGGATCCGGGTGATCCCCAGCCAGCATCCGAGAACTTGGCTTTTGGGACGTTTCCTGCGTGACTGGTTGACCAGGTCATTTGTGCACTCAGGGAACTAAGCCCTGCCCTACCAGCTGCCTGGACTCGGCAGTGTGATGAGGGCACGCCCGAGTTCTGTCACCACAGTGGCTGCACAGGTAGAGGGTGCCTGTGTGACCAGCCCTCTGTAGAAGCCCCGCACTCAGAGACCTACGCAGCCTCCCTGAGAAGCAACACTTTGGATGTGCTGCTGACTTCACTGCTGGAGCAAGCCGCGTGTTTGGTGTGATGCACCCTCCCCGAGGGGGAGCTCTAGCCTGCACCTGGCCAGTCCAGACTCCTCTGGGTCTTTCTCCCCTGCTGATCTTGCTACATGACTTTTCTCTGTAATAAGCCATGGAGTCCACACTCTAATCACGCAGTGTGTGGTGGCCCCAGGACCCCTGAGACACGGAGCCGCAGGGAAGACAGGTAGCTGCCCGAGGTGCTTGAGGCAGAGAAGGATGGGGAATAGCCTGGCTCCTCCCCTCCCCCTGTCGCCCACCAGGGCCTCTCACTGCCTGAGCCCAGCCTGAGGCTAGCTGACCAGGGGTGTGGGAAGCCCAGCTCTACAAATTCACAACAGATCAGGAAAGGCAGGGCATGGATGGGAGGGCATCGGGGCCACAGGCCAGGACAGGCATGTGGGTTGCTCTTGGGGGCATTCGCAGTTATACTAAGAAGCTCCAGGAAGGACACACACACACACACACACACATACACACATATATATACATACATATGCACACACACACATACACAGACACACATGCACAGACACACGTACACACTCCCCTGCCCTCTCATCTCCAGACCTTGTGGTCCCCATGAGCCCCCCAACTCCTGGCACTGCCAAGCTGTCCTGAAGGCTCTTTTGGCCGGAAACGGGCAGGGATCTGAGAGCACCGGCTGTCGGGTGAGTCCTGCTGAACTCACATCAGAGATTAGGACGAGAAGACACAGGAGTGAGCTGGGCTGGGGTCTCAGCTGCGGATGACAAGGAGGGTCCCAGAGAAAAGCCCGGCCCCCCTCCTCTCTCCACTGGGCCCCCGAGTGGATACTGCCATTTCCAAAACAGGCTGTGGGTTGCACGGGCTCCTGAGGTTCACTGAACCGGGGCTCTGAGGGGTCCCCAAAGTGCTTCCTCCCTGTCCTGTGCCCCCACCCCATGGGGTGGAACAGCTGCCCACAGGCCTGGGTTCCGCCATGCACAAGGGAGCTGGACCTTGGTGACTGTTCAGGAGGGAGTCTCTGGGCCACCCTCCCCATAACCACATGTCTATCCCCTTTGGCCCCAAGGGAATTTCTCATAATCCTCCCTTGGAGGAGCCCCTCAGTGCCAGCCCACCCTCATCACTCTCCTGAACCCCCATGAACAGCCTCCGTGGCACTTCCACCTGTCCTTGTCCCACCAACCCTCCCTGTCCAGAGCAGCCATGGGGCCTCTTACAGTTTTAAGTCTGTCTGCATCACACGTTTCCTCAGAGTCTCCTCAGGCTGGGTGAGTTCTCGTCCTAACAGGCCCTGACTGCCTGGCCCTGCCTACCTCTCCTGCCTCACCAGGAGCTGCCCACACCTGTCTTCAGCCAACCAAGCTCCTAACCATCGGGATCCTGGGACTCAGGCCTGCCTTTGCTGGACACTTCCCTTCGGATTTCCACCTGGCCACATTCCACTCTTTCTTAAGGATTCTGCTTAAAAGTCGTGTCCTCTAAGGCTCCCCGCTAGCCTTCCCCACCACGATGACATCCAGGTAAGGCGCTTGGGGGTTTAAGGAGCAGATGGAGCAGTGGGGCTGGGCACAGATGTTGAGGCAGGGGTGGGGGCAGGAGCCAGGGAGTGTCAGGCTTTGACCCAGGAAGGAAGGGAGCCATCGGAGGGAGCGTGTGGCCTGGTGACTGTGGTCGGGAGACCTCTTCCTTAAGCGATAGTTGCGGTGGGCATGTGAGGAGGAGTGGCTGGGGGCTGCTGCATGGCCGGGCTGCATCTTCCCTGCATGGCCCCAAGTGGGGCAGGTGCCCCTGCAGTGGAGCTGCTTGCAGTTCCTGTCCCTGCCGTGTCACGTGGGCCTCCACAGAGTGTGAGAGGGTCCCTTGCAACTCTGTCTATGTGAGTTTGTAGTGTCTGCCCCAGGAACACCCTTCCAGTCATATAAGCCTCAGGCCCACAAGGCCTGGGCGCCTCTCCTGCTTCCCTGTGCCATGTCCCCGGGGGACGAGGGCCCCACCTGCCAGCTTGTGGGCTTCAGTTCCCATCAGTGCTCACCCTACTGCAGCCCATTCTCACTGCAAATGCTCTTTGTTTTATTTTTAAAATGCAATTTCTTCCAAAGCAAATAACTCCAAAGCAGGAAGGGGGCAGTGGAGCTGAGAGGCACAGCTGTGCAGAGGACACCCCATGGCTGGTGTGGACGCCCCGCTCCCAATTCGTGTGCAGGGTGCTTCACGGGAGGGTTGGAAGGTGGTTATATCAGAATGGCACTGTGGGGGAGGGACTTGCCTGCCTTTGCTTGGGCACACAGCTGCAGTGTTTGCATGCTGAAAGCCATTGTTATTCTAACTGTTGACAAGGGGCAGCTCCAGCACAGCTCTCAGCAGGAAGCCTGCTCCTCCCCTGGTGTCTCTGGCACCATCACTGAACCAGTATCTGCAGCAGCCAGCAAACTGACTAATTACGGATGAGCCCTTTGTTCCTGATAACCCAGTGGCTCTCATCTGGGGCAGGCCATGGGCAGAACATTTCACCCAACAACAGCAGGAAACACGTTCTCTCCATGTTCATATGGTACAAGGAATACATCCTATTCCAGTGATAAAATAAGTCTCAGGAAATTTTAAAGAATGAAATTATACCAAGTAAGTTCTCCAACAACACTGGAGTGAAATTAGAAATCTGTAATGGAAGAAAACTTGGTAAATTGGTCTATATGTGAAAATTAGACAACATATTTCTGAACAATAAAATGGGTCAAGAAAAAAATCATAAGGGAAGTTAGAAAATACTTTGAGATGGATAAAAACAAAAGCATAATATACCAGAATTTATGGGATGCTGTGTCACAGGGAAATTTATTATAGCCACATACATCTAGATTAGACAAGAAGAAATATCTCAAGTCATTAACCTAACTTTCCACCTTAGGAAACTGGGAAAAGAAGAGCACACTAAGTCCAAAGGAAGAAGAAAAAAGTGAATACAGATTAGAGCAGAAATTAGTGGAATTCTACTCATTTGGAAGAATCAAGAAAATCGACAAAACTTTAGCTATGTTGACCCATGAGAAAAGAGAGAAGACTCAAATGATTAAAATTAGAAATGAAAGAAGAGCACTACTACCAAGCTTATGAAGAATAAAAGATTGTAAGGAAATATGGCTGGGTGCAGTGACCCTCCCCTGTAATCCCAGCACTTTGGGAGGCCAAGGTGAGCAGATATCTGAGTCAGGAGTTCAAGACCAGCCTGGCCAACATGGTGAAACCCCATCTCTACAAAAATATAAAATTTATCCAGGCATGATGCTAGGTGCCTGTAATCCCAGCTACTCAGGAGGCTGAGGCAGAAGAATCGCTTGAACCTGGGAGGCAGAGGTTTCAGTGAGCCAAGATTGTGCCATTGCACTCCAGCCTGGGTGGACAGAGCAAGACTCCATCTCAAAAAAAAAAAAATGATTATAAGTAAATACAATGTACCATGTACACCAACAAATTAGAAAACCTAAATGAAAGGAACAACCCCTAGAAAGTTGCATGTTTCCAAAGCTGACCCAAGAAGAAAGAGAAAACTTGAATAGACCTATAATAAGTAAAGACATTGAGTTCATAAATAATAATAACAATTTCTACAAAGTAAATTACAGGACTAGATGGTTTCATTGAGAAATTCTCCAAGTGTTCAAAGAAGAAACACCAATCCTTCAAAAACCCTCCTAAAATATGTGAGTATGGAATACTTCCTAACTCATTCTCTGAGGCCAGTTATTACCCTGACACTAAAACCAGACAAAAGTATTACAAAAAAGGAAACTATAGCTCAATGGCCTTAAGAATATAGACACAAAACTCCTCAACAAGGTACTATTCTAAACTCAGGAACATATAAAAATAAAAATTAAAAATTATTACCAAATAAGATTTTTTCCCCCTGGAATGCCGTGTTGATTCAACATAAGAAAATCTATCAATATAACAGTATATTAATAGAGCAAAGAACTAAAACTATGTGATTATCTCAATAGATGTGGAAAAAAATAGTTGCATTTGACAAATCCAACACTTTTTCATAATAAAAGTACTCGACCAATTAGGAATGGAAGGGAACTTCCTCAACCAGCTAAAGGGCATCTATGAAAAGCCTATAGCTGACATCATGCTTCAGAGTGGAAGATGGAACTATTTTCCCATAAGATGAGGAATAAGGTAAGGATGTCTGTGCTCACCATTTTCATTCAATATTGTACTAGAAGTTCCAGCTACAGCACTTAGGTAAGGACATGAGATAAAAGGCATCTGAGTTGGAAAGGAAGAAGTAAAATTATCTCTATTTGCTGGGGATATGATCTTATCTATAGAAAACGCTTACACACACACACAAAAACTATTAGAACTAATAAATTAGTTTAGCAAGGATGCAGAATACAAGATCAGGCCGGGCGCGGTGGCTCAAGCCTGTAATCCCAGCACTTTGGGAGGCCGAGACGGGCGGATCACGAGGTCAGGAGATCGAGACCATCCTGGCTAACACAATGAAACCCCGTCTCTACTAAAAATACAAAAACATTAGCCGGGCGTGGTGGCGGCGCCTGTAGTCCCAGCTACTTGGGAGGCTGAGGCAGGAGAATGGCGGGAACCCGGGAGGCGGAGCTTGCAGTGAGCCGAGATCGCGCCACTGCACTCCAGCCTGGGCGACAGAGCGAGACTCTGCCTCAAAAAAAAAAAAAAACAAGA